AACATGTCATATAATTTACGGTATATCAATTTATTATAAACGATATAAAATTAGCTTGTTCAAGAGAACATAAAATTTGTATGTTTAAACAATTAAAAATTTCTAAAATATTATATTAACATATATAAATTATCTAAACTTTTCTATATTATTATTAAAAGATGTGAAGTCGCCTAAAACTTTTTAAATTTCTTTGTAAAGAAAATATATCTAAAAACATTAAAAAGTTTACATTTGTATGAAATATGTTTTTTGAATACGACATGATAGAATATTATATAAAATTATTCAAAGTATTATAAGCCTAAATAAATACCTTATAAAGTTTGAAAGAAAATTTACCTAGTATATATAAAATAAATATTGACATGATGCTGAAAATTATGACAATACTATTGTACCTGAAAATTTGAGTATAGAAGATTTCAAAATTATTATTATTATTCTTTTGAGTAATTTGAGTACAAGATTTCAAAATTATTATTATTATTCTTTTAAATAATTTGAGTACAGAAGATTTCAAAATTATTATTATTTTTTAGTTATTGTAAATATTATTATTATTATTCTTTTAAGTAATTTGAGTACAAAAGATTTCAAAATTATTATTATTTTTTAGTTACTGTAAAAAAGAAATTTTGTACGCATAAAATTCCACGCTTTATGCAGATTTATCAATTTTACAAATAAAATGGGATTTACTATATATTGAATAGAGACTAAGAATTTATATTGACGAAGCCTTCTTCCCCGTTTTCTCTCTCGCGAAGCTTCCTGTACAGCCTTCTTCCCGCATCGACTTGCTCTGATATTCCACCGTTGCCTTCCCCGACATGGCACATCGAGCGCTCGGCGGTGGCCTTCTAGGCCCGCAGTTCGTCACCAAGAGTAGTGCTGCTAGAGGGAGCTTTTTCGCCGGGGAGATGCCATCCTCCGATGCTTAGCCTCTGGTACAGGTTGCGCGTGGCGGGTGTTGTTCTCCTCCGGTATCTCCGCTGCGGCGGCCTCCGGCGCTCTCTTGGAGCGAGCTGTGACCCTAATTTTCCGATTAGGGTTTGGGGTGGAGATTGGGTCTTGGCCGATTTGATTGGCCTTGTCTTGGTACAGAGCATTGGTGCCTGAGTAGTCATCGATTGGTTGGGGGATTGCTGTTCTATGGCCTTGCAGTCGCCGGAAGGGAGATTGTGGAGTTTTGGGGTAGTGATCGTTTGGCTGGGTCGTGTGTTTGTTGTGCTGAGTCAGGCTGCTCAAAGCTGGGTTCGGGTTGGGCTTGGATGGACGGAGCTCGCCTGGCCTGGTTGGTCATGAGTCTTTGTCTCTGGGGCGCTAGTAGTGTTGTTCGTTTGGACGAAGATAAGGTTCGTAGGTTCTCGACTTAGTTAGGCGTTATCTGGCAGTTTCTGGGTTGAGACCCTGGACCGAGTCTTTGTCGTTGTTGTGTTCGAAGTGGTTTTCTGCTGTGGGAAGGGCTCCTTGTTTATGTTGTTTTTTGTTCAGTGTGTTTGTTAGTCTTTGTTTCGGAGATGAATACAGGTTAGGCATTGTGCAGTGGCTCTGTTTTTCATTTTCCTTTATTTTCGTTTGTGGAGTTCTCTAGGCCGCTATGTGCGTATCCTCTCAGCCTTCTATTTATGTTTGTTTAGTAGGCGTGTTTTTGGTTTGGGCTGCTGGCCCCTGTCTCATTACCCTGTTGGGGTCTTAGTTATTACCATGTTGGGGTCTTTTCTTATTACCCCGTTGAGGTCTTGTAGTTTGTAATTTTGCACTTTTGAGACTTTATAATACATCTATCGTTTCGGCAAAAAAAAAAGAAGAATAGAGAC